CGCTGCCGAACGCGGAGGCCGATTGTGCCTCTTTGTCGCTCGTTCCGCGCTCTCGCTTGCACTTCAAGCCTTAAATGGAACGCCTCAGAGCGAGGTAACGCCGCATGAGTCATGTTTTTTCGTGCGTGCAGCCGACTCCATCGAATTATAAGACGTTGTCACGTCAAAAAGGATAAATCTTGGACTTTATCAAATTTCATCTTGTTGCTTTAAAATCGTTATAAACATTCCAGCTATAAGTAGTAAGACATGTTACTAACTATAAGTAATTGATTTTTCAGTTTTTACACCGACAAAATTAAATCTTGACAAAAGAGTCAAAGATGTATAAAATTACGCGGCAAATTTTAAAAATACATTTTCTTAACAATGAAAAAAGCACGTAGTTCAGGCATAAACTATCCAATCCCCGTGTATGGTTCAGATAGCCTTTTACTAAACCCCTCACCCCTTACAGAACCATTTGGTTTATCCCCTTGGTCACTAAGGCTTAGTGTAAAGAACCGATCAACTTTTGAAAAAGTTTCAAACTAGAAGCGAAACGTCGGTGCTGGTTTTGTTATAATAAATCTTTTTCGTTCCTAATCCGCTCTGATTATTTTATTAAAACGATTTTCTTTAAAAAAATATACATGCATATATATAGTCGATGTTAATACTTATATGTAAATGTTAAATATTAATATTGAATAAAATTTAAGGTACAGTGTATACATCAGCCCTATCGGTTGGTTTATTAGGTACCACGCACCATATTGTTTGTTTCAATAAGCCTGAAAACGGTAAGTACTGCTAGGTGTAACTAATTGAAAAAAAATATTTAAGAATTATTGCATTGACTTTTTACAGGAGAAAAATCAATGTTTGACACTGCCAGAATTGTGGCTAGCGTCCCAGCCCCATGGCCCCTTAATCCATCTTATATGCACACATTCGGTGGGTCAGAAAGTAAAAACTTGTATGTTATTAATAAGTAACTACTAATACTCATTTTTATATGCAAAGATTCCTGTAGTCACAATATTGCCACAAACTTCATGCGTTTTCGTACATTAAACAAATTAACTTTCTCGGTATATAACGTACAAAATTATATTAAAAAAATAATAAAAAATAAATGAAGATGGAAGGATAAGGGCTAATCCAGCATCTGGGAGGAGTCATGGCCGATGGAGTTTTAAAACAGCAATTAAGTGTTTTCGGTGTATTTTTGCCAGCGAAACTCATTTTTCCGAATAATGGTAAGGGATTATTATATTGTTAATAAAATATATTACAAACTACGGAATTAATAATACGAATTTAAAACATTCAGTCTCTGAAATAGGCCGGAGGAATTAGTAGCCCAGTTGCGCTCCGCTCTGATGTAACTTTTTTAAAAAAAGTTGGGGAGTTTTTTACATCTCATTTTAAAGTTTAGATCTTGAACTTTAAAATAAGGAGTTTTAGAGTTTTCTATTTTAATTAGAAGCCAAGTTGTTGGTGATAAAGCTTGAAAAACCCGCTATTTAATTGCAATATTTTCCGCTCTAATTCTAATTAGTATTTATTAGTAAATCATGAACAAAGTGATTTGTAATGAGCAGAGGTATCGATTTTTCTAGGTTGATTCCAAATATATCCAGTTTACAATATATGGTATATTAAACAGTCATACTATTTATAAAAAGTTTCCCGACCGTTTTCCTGAAAAACGAGTTTTGAATTCGGATTCTGCCAGCAAAAGACACCGAAAACATTTACTCGTTCTCCTGGAACTGCATCTGCCACGTAAACGCTCTCAGCTACCTATTATATAATTTTTAATCCATCTTGAGTTATTTTTATTTTATTATTACTTATTATTCTAAATCTAAGATTTTTCTATGCTTCCTACGTTTTTCAACTTTATCCTCTATAAACTAATCACTATTTTGAAATTATCATTAAAAATTGAAGCTTTGATGAAATTTAATTTAATTTTAATTTGATTTAATGATTCTACCTTCAAAAATAATTTTGTGTTCTTTAATTCCATCATTGAATGATTTACTAGTTTGTTCTGAATATACTTTATAACAATCTTCACAATTTAATAGTAATACTATTGTAGTGTTCTTTTTATTTTGGGATCGTCTATAAAATACATCATTTAGGATTTCACCTTTTTGGATCCCTCTCTCCCCCTTCGTCAAAAAAAACTTTTCCACCCCTTATAAACGACTTCTTGCGATTACAAATAGCATACAAATGAATAATTTAAAATATTTTTTATTTTAAAAATATGAAGATTGGAAAAACTTTGGCGGTTGTTGTAGAACAAACAGAAAAGCTCAAAACCCCAACGCCAAAACAAGACACTGTAGTTGTCCGAAGCACTTTTCGGTAACAAAGTTACCTTCTTCAGGGACTAACAGTTTACATCAGTCCCTGAAGAAGGTTGGGCGTTGGGGTTTTGAGCTTTTCTGTTTGTTCTATTTGAAAAATATAAATTCAAATAAGAAAAAGTGTATATAATTTGAAACATTCCTTTCTGACAATCCATATGTTTATCTACTGGCTTTTAAGTGCTTGACAATAACTTCTTATGGCAATAAAAAATTTTAAGAACTGCCAAGAGAAAAATTAAAATAAAATTGATGAACTGTTAACGTCACATTTCCGTACACCCCTCCCTTCCCCTTTGTCATATCACGTTACGCTAAGGAATACTCCTAGCTCCCTTCTCCATAATTACGTTCATACTTTAGAACGGTCCCTTTTGATTTTTATATTAAATTAAAAACACGTCTATTTTTTTTTGTTTAGGTATATCAGACAATTATTTTGTGATGATTCAACAGCCCTTTAGTGTGTCGATAACTGGCCTAGTTACTGCTTTGGTGGTCAACAGGCCTACTTCGTCCGCTCTGAGATGGTACGAAAAGGAACAAGTAAGTAAAGGAATCTACAGAAATGGCAAATTGTTGAAATTGTTAAATCTATTCATAAAAATAAAATACAGGCACTATTGGTGTACCCACACTAGTTTAATAAGCAACTTAAGTACTTCTTTAGAATTTCTGGGCGACTTTTTAAAAAAACCTTTAATAAAAAGAACCAAAATATAGAAACCAAAATGATAATCCAGTAAATGATTTGTTTTTAGACTATCATCACTTTAATAAACCGTACAACTGATCAAAAAGAAGATTTTTACACATCTTCATTTTTCTACCTTCACATAATCAACCAATTTGAAATAACCGACGAGTATTTGGTAATAGATGTATGTTGTTATAAAAATCCAGACTTTGTTAATTGTATGTTTACAGAAAACCTATTGGTAAGTGTAAACTCGTTTCTCTGTGTATTACACTCATAAAGCATGCCTTTTAGAATGCCCAGATGAATCCATGTTTCGCTAAAATGGCTAGAAACAAGCCCCAAAGATTTATTGTACCTTTAACTAAATTTAAGAAACAATCTTTTAATAAAGAAACGCAAAGTTCATCAGGAAATTTAATTCATTTGGACAATTCGTTGTGTGAAGCTTATTTACAACGTGACGGACGAATTATCTTATCACCTGAAGATTTATGCGGGTTGAGTTGCGAAACGCCTCAAATATATTATAAAAAATATTCAGGTAAAAAAGCACAAGCATAAATTTAAATTTAATAAGTATATATTTTATTTCGATAAAGGCATTTTATAATTAAAATTGAAAATTATAAATTTATTGAACTATTCGGGTAATTTAGGATTTAATAACTCCAACGTTTCGCTCTACGATTGTGAGCTTCGTCAGGGCTAAGGACACACCCACTTACATAAGTACAAAGTATAAATAATAACGTACATATTTCTTACAATTATTAGAAGTCGAAATTGGGAATAACCAATCTCAATTCTTTCATCTAAAATTTTTTAAATTATCAAAATAACAACGTACTTTAAACAATATATATTTAAACATTGTTTAAAATATTTTTTTTTAAATACAGCTCAATGGTACGTAAGGCCACTTTTTTATATAAATTATGTATAGTTTGTACTTATTCAAATGTGTGTACCCTTAGCTCTGCGGACACGTTGAAGTTATACATTAGTACTCGAATAGTTCAAGATTTTTTTTTTATTTCAACTAGTCGTAGGACTGACGATCTTATGATCATGATAATGATTGGGGAGAAAATAAATACTTATCCCTTACAATTGTATCTAATATTTGTCAATTTTTATAGGAAAGCCTTACAGATATTTTTACGCCATTGGAGCTGATGTAGCTACCGAAAATCCTGGTTTGGTAAGTGAATTATCCAGAAGGTATTAAAAAAAAACATTAAACAGAAAATCAAACTGTAATAAGTTTTTAATTTATTGGAAAGGTCATAACCTCATCACGACCCTTTGTTTATGCGTTTTAAAAATATATTATTTTGTTTGGAAACAGTTCTATTTAAAATACAAATAGCAAATTTTTAAAAATAGTAAATCAAACTACAACGGATTAGTTTCTACCTACTGTAGTTCATATCTATAACTGTTTTCATCATTCCCTTATATATAACATAACACCATATCTCAAATACAGAAGCTGCACTCCGTTTATTACGAATCAAAACAAAACAAAAAAATTTTTTTGGTGTTATATTCTAGTTATGTCAAAGAAAAAATTTCAAAAAACAAACATATTATATAAGCCATTTAGAAAATTTTTGAATTATGAACGAACTTTTCAAAACAATGTCACAAATATATCGATTCATATTTCTACTTCAAATGCATTTTAACAATTATTTATCACATGTCTAATACAGAAAGCAGAAAATAAAAATATTTCTTGTTTTAGATTATTAAAGTTGACACCGTAGAAAAGGATTGCAAAACATGGTGTGAAAAAAATTGTTACCCCAGCGAACCAATTTTTTTTCCCAGGCCAAATGCACAGGTAAAAATTACTAAGTACTTGTTAAAATATTTGTCATATATATCAACGGTTTGTTTTAATAATGTTGTACAAAAAATTATTTTAAGTCTAATTTAGTAATTTATTGTATACCAAGTGTCCCCAGCAGACGTACGCTATCATGTTTATTTATGTTAATAGACGGTTAAATAGGGGAAGTACTACATAATATTGTATTTATTAAAATGACGTTATCGAAAAAAAAGTGAAAACGGTCAATTATCCAATCTTTTCCCAGTTACATACATTTTCAATTTGACTGAACTTTTCCATATTTGTTTCCTAAATAATTTGGTATGTCACATGCCATACTCGAAAACTAACTTAAAAGTGTGCTCTGAAAAAGAGTATAAAATACTTTTCAATTAAAGTATTTATTTTTTGTATTTAAATACAAATTTTTCTTTATTTTATTTGATTTTCACATACTTTTTTTTATCTGTAAACAATTTATAAACAATTGAACTCAACAGAATATATGATTATGTACCACCATCAAAAGGTCGTCAGTCCTAAGACTAGTTGGACACGCACCACCAATATTTCCTGTCCTGAGCTAATCTTCGCATTTCCCTAAAACTAGAACAACCCACATCCTTAACTATTTGCGAACAGTAATCTAANACATATTTTTTTAAAATATATTATTTATGTATTTATGTGCGTCTTTATACTTAGATATAACTGCAAAGTTTTTGTATTTGTATTTTAATACTGTATGAAATAAGAGGATTTGAATATAAAGAGGACAATTTCGAATTTGATTTTTTAAAACTCATTTTTATTCAGGAAGAAGACGATGGTGTACTAATGTCATCCCTTTTATGGGGCGAAGAACAGTGGAACAAAATAGGACTTATTATATTAGACGCAAAATCGTTAAAAGAATTAGGAAGGGCGGAATTTACCACACCATCTCCAGCACCAAAATGTTTACATGGGTGGTTTATACCAGACTAAGATCAAATAATGCTTAATTAACCTAATTAAATTACTTCACTATTCAATTTTGTAAAATATGTAATACTCTCGACAATGACACTTTTTAAAATTTAAAATAAATACACACAGTTAGCATATCAAAATGAAGTTTTATTTTCAATTCTCAATTTCAATTTTCATCTGAACGTTCATTAACTGATTCAAACAAAAAAGTAATTCCTATTTAAAAAGCAAAATAAAACTTAATACTCGCCACTCAAAATAAATGTACAATGAAATAAGCTTCTTGACATTCTTTAAATTGTGTAAATGCTTAAAATGCTTTTTTTTCACTTAATACAAAACAAGGATGCGAAATACCATCAGTACTTGAATATTCCATTGTAGTTTTTTAAATTCAATGAAAAATATACGACATGGTACATATTTATCTAATTAATATTATATAGGCAATTAAGCAGTATCCAATATTGGTAACTACGTTTTAGAATGCTCAGTATTTTTACTTTTTAAAACGTTAAATATAGCGTTTCGTAAATAATTGCAAGGTCAAGCTAGTTTGATCTTGTTTGACCTTTCTAGGGCGAAAAAAAGAAACAAGTAACACAGATTATGATGAGGGATGTGACAAAAAAAGGCACCAACTCGATAACAACGTTATTATTGTAAATACGTACGCCGTTTGTTAGAAAACGATAATATAAGAGTATTAAATAAAAACTTGAATTATTTACACTTTATGAAATAAATTTGAACGTACAACAACATAACAAAACAATTAACAATAAGTAATGCATTTATTGCAACTGCATTTGTACTGCTTAAAAATGTTTATATTTTTGGTTTTTGAAACAATTTACGCGAATATCATGCTTGATTTTCGTAACTACAACTAATAGTAAAAATCGTAAATGAAATCAGTTATTTCTTTATAAGCCGGTACGTTTACTACCTAACTATAATACATTAAAAACATTACATAATACACTTTCATATATTAATTAACCAAATATTTGGATGTCCCATTATAACTTCAAAATGTTTTAGATGAAAATGAAACAAAAACTTACCTAAAGATTTTAATCCAATGCCATTGCTGATCACTTAACCTCACTATTGGGTACGTAACATGGTGTGTTCTCCCGCACGACAAGACATTCACTGGCCTGACGCATAGCTCACACTAACTTACAACAGTGTGTGCAATAGCTAAGAAGATGGAAGCCATCCCTTCTTATCGTCTGTTAGCATGGGTAACGACATCTATACAGTGCCAATTAAAAAAATTGACTGATTAAAAAAAAAAGTATTTAAGTAATTAATTTATTGTACGAAAGAAAATTGTAAGTGACATAATACGTCCTACAAGAAAAAAAAAAACAAATACTATTTTTGTCGTTATTCTCTAATTTTAAATTAGACTTAGATATAAAAACGTATAAACTTACAAAATAGGATTGAACAAGTTCTATCTACGGTGAAATATATTAGATTTGGGCACTAAATATAAACACCAACGTCTAGTTAGTGAAGATGGACGGTTTTTTAAGACTAACGAGCACTAGCTGCCCTCATTTTACATACTAAATATGTACAGTCTTCTTTTAAAACATTTTTGATGCCTATTACAAATGATAAAACTACAATTTCCGTGTTATACATATATCTATCCATAATTTGTATAAAGAACATTAAGTTCTTGGTTAATAATTTATAGAAACTACCAAACGTAAAACTATTTCCAACTTATTAATTCCTATCAGCACGTCATGGTCAATTTCCATAAATCATTAGCCAAATTAAAGTTACTCTATAAAAAATGTATATGTATATAAAAAAGTAACGAAAAGTTATGGACAAAATACAAAAAAAGGTAATTAGGCATTAGAGTAATTAGTAGTCTATAAAAATAAAATAAAATAAACAATCGTTTAAATAAATACAAATTCGCCTTTTACCTGTTACCTCGTTTTGACTAACCGTAAGAATTCTTGCATAAAAAAAATTGTAAGTAACCAAAAGTACTGAGCACCTTTATCAAAAAGAAAAAATATTATTAAGAAGTAAAAGCTGCTTCTAAGATTACGAGATTCAGACTAATAAAAGTAGTTACTGATTAGTTTCAGCAATTTTTTTATGTACATTAATTCAAATCCAATGGAAAGGAATTGTTTTATCGTTATGTACCATCAGTATCTTTTTTAATAGCGTATTGATCTGTAACATCTTATCACTCGGGTATGAGACTAATTTCATGCCACAAAATCAATCGATACTTCCAATAGCTAGAGAAGGAGAAAAGGGGTAGTCAGCTGTCAGCCGTTCGTTCTGCTAATGCTAACTGCTAATCTTGAACAGCACTTTGAAATTAGTCATGCAACTTTTCTAAACACATTGTGATATACTTGTTTACAATATTCATTAAATAATTTTATAAGAACCAAAAAAGTTAGTGCTAAATATGAAATAGCTTCAATCAAAACCCGACTCTAATACTTTCACGAAACTTCGGCTCGTTACCGAGTTTAGATATTACACATCGTTAGTGACTATTGTGAATCCTGCTTTTTTTACCATTATAGGCAAACTTCGCCCAGCGTCACAATTTGCAAAACAATAAAATATTTAAAAATCTGTATATGTAAAATACATGAAGTGCATATAAAAAATATTAGTGAGATTTGTTAAGAGGGCAAATATTTTTTCTTTTTACACATTAACATTCTTATATACAAATATCTCTGTTAGATATGAGAATTGAACAGTATTGTCTGTTTTTCACCCAAAGAAATACATTTTTTGTTCCAGTAGGTACAGCATTTATAATATATACATAAACATAATTTTTAACAAAATTTACTGGTGATATTGTTGCTGTTATCACAAAAATTTTGTTTCATTTCACATAAACATCATTAATTTACACGTTTTAATCATTTTATAAAATAGGATAAAAGAGAGACTTACCTCCCACACTTCTTTTCTTATTACATTTTGTATCTATACAAAAATCTTTTACAATCTAAACCTATTAGGCACTGCTATTAGTAATATTTAACTTTGTACTTTACGTAATACGATTTTACAATAAACTTATTTCATTTTATCACCCCATTGAGTCAACGTATCAAATTTTAAAAGGCCAAAAGTTGAAGAGCTTCCTAAATGCACAAGGTGTTTTTAATTAATCAAAAAGAGCAAAAACATAATTCAGAAAAAAATAACTACGTCATAGTTCATATACCCTGCACAAACGCTTTTGTTTTTCTGAGATTCATTTACCTATTTCATTATGAGTATTGTAAATATCTAAATAACAGCGCCTTCTTGTAGCCTGAGATGTTGTACAAGAAGAACGAAAGAAGTGAAAAAAATGGTAAAAATGGGTACCGAAAGAACGGTAGCTTTGTTATAAATGTAACAGTAAGGACATTGACTACTACCACATACTTCACAAATATTTAATAGATAGGTCGTTAGTGCGTCAAAGATGCTTTCGTTGTACCTTTCGGGGGAGTGATAATCATACACTCTAATTGGTAAAAATCGAGACATATTCGCAACTGGGTACCAACGTTCTACTGTCAAATTTATGCAAATTTCTTCGTTATCCAACTGTAAATAAAAATAAAATCCTCTTTCCAGTATATAATGAATATAAAATATTTTTTTTAACATGATATGTATTTGAATTAGAAAATTAAATACAGTAGGCACCCGATAATGTAAACCGAAAAAAAGAGCAACAGTTGTTCACATTATTATCGATTTATTTACGGTAACAAATTATATATTTATTTTGTAATAAACATCTACAATTAACCATATCAACGCAGAAACAAATATAAAACATTAATACACATTCATCACCAATCTAAAATGAATCGACGAAATAAACATCTTCCACTAATTTATCGAAAAAGTGCCAAATATATCGGAATATACAATACATACAATAAGTATACGGTTCATATCATGTTATGTTATCACATATCGGGTATCTACTGTATTTGACAATTTTTTTTTTTTTTTAATTTTATTGTTTTAATTGTTATATTACTCTTTCATTATAAACATATTATTTTTTAATTTATTAATATCAAAAAGCAACAAGTTGGTTGCTGATAGGTCAAATTTTGTAAAATTGTAAAAAAAATAAAAGTAATAAAAAACCTATTACTTACATAGTCGAAATAGAAGAGCACTTTCTTTTCCAAGAACTTGGCCCTCTGTAGATTACGAACTTGTCTTGATAGAACATAGGCGTCAAGTTTCTGCTGCTGAATAATGTAACCAGTGGGTACTGCAACGTCGAGTACTGCAAGTCCTGATCTCTCAGACTCATTCAAATACGTCCACCTTTAAAAAAAAGGTTACGTAAATAATTACATGTAAATAAAAATATAATACACAGAAAAGCACGCCAAAAATTAACAAATTAATTTTGCTTGTTACAGAAGTTAGATGTTACATATCATTTGCGACTTCTGTTAAACTTACAATACTTTTTATTTATTTAAGCAAAAAAATTAAAAACTGATAACTTACTTCTGACAACTGAGGAAATTAACATGAGAATGATTCCTGCCATAAAATTCAGCCCTTGTAGACAAATCAAAAGATGGGACAGGTGGTTGCGTTTGGAATCTGGCAATATCAACATTGTACTGTACGGACATCTGCAGTATAGCATACCCCGCACCTCTGGCTTGTACTTTGACGGTACCCCAAGCATTTGGTATGTCAATATATTGCATTTTTCCCCTATTTTTGTCATTAACATAAAGCACATTGCTCTGCCCTGGCAAGGACGTTGCTTCCACCGTAACTGCCAAACTAGAAATGTCTCTTATCCTTTGCGCAGACGTATACTCAATGAGTGCTTTCAAAGCTGTCGCAGTATCAGAAGTTGAAGCCCATCCAGCATCCGTTAATCTCTGAGTATTCAACCAATTAACGATGTAATCAACAAATATTTCTTGTCTAGCCACATAAACCAGTAAACCGTAGGCAGTAGCTTCGATATTTTCAGAATCGTATTTATAAGGCAGTCTTGGCAGTCTGAATGGCTTTTGATTTTCTGTTTTGTAAGGTGGCTGGGGTACAGGTTCTCTTCCCCAATACATAAGACCCCCTTCTATACGACCGTGACGAGCTAGGAAACTAAAAGCTGTCTCAGCATTGGGTGCTTTGCTTTTCATCAGTGCATAAGCCACAATGGCTACTTCAAAGGGAGAACCGTGTTTATTAAGCAAGTCTAGATTACGTTCTAGCCATTGTATGGCTCGTTTAGCAGCTATAGCTACTTTTGAACTCAAACCACCTAAAATTTGAAAATATTTCAAATAAGACAGACGTTTAGTAACAAACGAATGTAATGAACAAATCGATACCGGTCAGCAACGTTTTTATTTTATGAAACACGCTATTGAGTGTCTTTTGTATATTGTTATACGTATATGACAAAAAATGCTCTTACTTTGAAGATCTTTAACAGAGTCCAAGGTGATAAGAACGTGGGCTGTAAGTGTGATATTACGGTGTCGTATTTCATCCCTGTCTGACCACGTGAGAGTATCGTTGTATTTTCTGTCAGGAGACCATGTGGTTTCATAGAAAGAACCATATTCGTTTTGGTGACTAAGTACCCAGTCCATTGCCTTCGATATCACAATTGGATCGATGTAAATGTAATTTTCCCACTCGTAGAAACTAGCTTCCTGGAACACCCTTGCGCAGTATGCTGTTAACCACACAGACGACGCCGAGTGATTCCTGTAAAATAACACAAAAAAAGAAGACACGTAATTCGTTTAGGTCTTTTTTTATTGAGTTAACTTACCAATCGCTTCTGAAAAGACCGAACGAACCGTCTTCTTTCATGAAAGAGAGCTGTCTTTGGTAACCGATGTTCATGTAGTAGAAGGCAAGGCGTTCCAGAGTTCTGTTTCGCTGCTGTGTGTAACGCATGTAGAGGGTTGTGTACATATTTGCAGCAAATGAAAACATATTCATGTCTGCAGCATCCTGTAATAGAAATAATACAGAGCCAAATGTGGCGATTTCAAAAGTAGCTTAATGGGCACATTAATGAAGAACTAGAAATCGCGTGTACTTTACTTAACATAAGAAAAAAAAGAAAAACTTATAATTAATATGCAACCAAGTATACACCCGAATGTGGACATTCAGATCCACTCATTTTTCTAGTACACGAGTTGTAATTTAAGCAACTGCTTAGATTTAAATATCAAAAATATTGTAATTTGGTAAGACTCGAAGAACAAGTAGCGCTTACCATTGGTAAATTCAACATTGACGTGGCATTGACAGGCATGGTGGGGAAAATAGGACCTACTACGTCACCTACAATTGATATTCGAGCCCTGTTCGATCCATAGACGTAGTATCGATCGAATTCGTACGGTATTATGGGCGTTTCAGTAACATTGACGTGCATATATTGGAAGGCATAAGCCCTATTACTCAAATCAAGTAACATCGACTGGTGTCTGTATTGTGGCAAACCATCAGCCTAAAAAAAAATTTGTTTTAATTTAAAAGATACCATCTTTCTTTTAATTGCATTACCTCAACATGTAACTTTCTGGTAACCTCATCCTTTCCAATAAGTGTAGAGGCATAAACAGTTACCTCAATATCACCCAGTCTTGTTGGGACAATAGGAAGATAGACCACTTCAGCATCTTGTTGCTAATCAAAAGATGTACGTTAGACCAAGCATGAAAAAATAATTCTAAATACCTTTATATAAATAAAGAATTGATGTTCTCCAAATGACGTTCTTGGGTTGTAAGCCCTAACAACACCATTTTGTTCAACGTGGACGAATTTATAATCGGGAGATCCTGCCAAAACAACCGTTGCTTCAATGGCATTGGGCATGTAATTAAAAACAGTAACTCGAATGCCTACTTGTTCCCCTTGTCTACATTCATTGGGCATTTCGACATTTATAAAGAACGGCAGCACACCCATGTACTAAAAAGAAATATTAAAATTATTATTAATAGATTTCTCAAGTGGATATTAAATAAACCAACTTACTTCTAAGGGTCTATTTAACATCCCAAATCCAAGGGATGGGCTCATAGAAAACGCAGATACCATCCAATGCACTGGGTGACTAGGGACCAGAATATTAAATATATATCGACCATGAGGTCCTATATTAACATCTTTCCAACACCAAACGTTGTCGTATAATCTTTGGATCCTGTTAAATCGATTCTTTCGGAACATTGCGATTTGGGTACCATTATCTCTTTCGCCTGTAAAACAGCAAATATTATTTTTTACTAGGGAAATAAAATCATTTAAGGCAACACTCACAGCCTACTTCGTCCGTGCCATCTTCACAATCCAAAAATCCATCACATTTCTTGTCAAGTCTATAACATCGTCCTGTCAAACATTCGCCGTATCCAAGGGTATAATTGCACGAACTCAGTCTTCTAGGTACTTGAACATCACTGAAAACCACGAGACCAACGTATTCAAAAGTACGATTTGCGTCAATGCCGTAAGTGGAAGACGGAAAATAGACAAACTCCTCGGGGTTTCCTTCGTGTGAAATCCAAGTGTGAAGATGTGTACCATTGGTTTGTTCGTCGAAGGTTGCCATTTTCTTCAAAACCTAAAAAAAAGCGAATTAAAAAAGTATTCTTTTATGGATTCGAAAATGATTTTACGTGTGAATATGTTAATTCGTTTCCAGCCTGCATGCTGAAGAAAGAATAATCGATTCCAGATAATCCCACATAAGAGCCGGGTTCACCATAGATGGCTACTTCCACCTTATGACCTGTTCTTGCTTTTTTGTTGTTTATGAGTACAGTAAATTTATTCCGACTGATTCCATTGACAGGGAACGTTAAGCTATCAGCAGTAACGTCTCCATACCTGTCCACATGCCAAACCACAACTGTAGCAGCTGGTGCCATTTCTGCACTTAGTGTTACAGCCATCGTTTGGACGTTGTACTTCATATCTTCTTGGGCTGCCAATAAGACCATACCCTTCGACATTATCATGTAATTGAAGTACTCGATAAAGTAATTACTGCGAATGTGGAATATAATGTATTCTCCAACCTATAAACCAAGAGTTGTTTAGAACTTAACTAAACGGGAATTACAAGATCAATATTATAATTTTTTCTTCTGTAATTAAGATTCAATTACAAAAATTACTAGACAAAAAATTTAGATTACAAATTTTTATTTCTTACTTGTGGTGTCCTGGTACTTGTAGAAATCTTGATGTGTTTGTTCCTAGGACTTTCGTGGGCAACTAACAATAATTCTGCGTTAGCCCTTTCGCCCCGCGCATCTCTAAAATAAGCCTGTATCCTAATAGCACCTTAAAATTAAAACCTTCTAAATATATCATTTTCTTATCTCAAATCCAAAAAAACATTACTCATATCGTTTAACTCTTCTGAAGATCTCTGTCCATCTAGTCCCAAATCTCCCTTCAGATCAATGTTGTATTGCCAAATTCCCATACGGTCACTTAATGGAATTTGTTGAATAGCTCCATCACGTCTACCACCGCCTCTCATTTCAACAGAATAATGAACCTCCATAGTACTTTGTAACAATCTTTCTTCAGAAAGCGGAGAGCCATCATGATAATTGACAACTATATTTGTTGATATAGGCATTCCTGGTTTGAATACCTTTAAAAATATGCATTAAAAGGTTTGCTATATTTATTTATCACAATTCTTACTTGAGGAGATCCACCCATAAATGAGAGTTTCAGTGATGAATTATAGATTCTTGCTACAGAGTAACCTTCGATTACTTCATCTAAATACCTTTCACCCACAGTGGCTGTAATGACCACTTCCATTCCATCTAGTGTTGGTATATGGCGTAATATTTCGCTCAAGGGATATTGAAATTTATAAACCCCATAGAACTATGAATAAAATGTACGCTCAATAATTTCATAAAAAACAAAGTGAAATAACTTACGTATTTTAAAATAGGAATTGGTTCGTAATATCTGTAAGGCATTGATATCCAAAAGGGCAACTGTTCATCCTGAAAGAAAAATAGAAACGCTCTTTGGTTCAAAGTTTAATTCTGAAGTTTCTGAAAACTCACAAAACTGAAGTACTTTTCAAGCAATGGCGGTTCATTATATTCAACATTATAATTAGGATTCATGTAATCTTGTTGTTGTTGCTGTCTGCTTTTTGAAATGTCGTCAAGATTATAAGGAGTACTGGTGGAGGTGTCAGTTCTCCAGTTCCTAATCGGGTTTATTGGTCTTACTGTTGCCTTCAGGGTTAAATTTCCTCTAACTGGACCTCCACTTGTATAATTTGCCATCACAATGCCATGAATATATTCGTCAGTTGTGAAGAAAAATGCGGGCATGGTAACATTCACCTTAAATTTAAATATAAATTCGTTTACGAATGAAGGAAAATGCCTTTTTTATCACGTAGGTACCTCAAATCTTGTCTGATAATATTCTTCAACGTCGAAAGTTGATTCTTCCGTCTGTCCTTGGGCGTCAACTTTTATTTTCCATTTACCAAAAACTGGTTGGTCTGATAATTGATATTCCAAACTAACAGTTCCCAAATTTGACTGTCTGGATAGCCAACGTTTCATAATATGACCTTTCGGATCTAACATGTACACATCTATAGCATTATTGAACGCTTTTAATTCGGTATTTATTGGGATTACACGGAACCTCACTAAAAATTATCATTACTTATGTTCGAATTATTATTTTGTACAAAGTTACCAGTTTGTCCTTGCATATAAACAGGTTTGTCCATTTGGATAAAAATCGTCATATATCTTTGGGAAAATGTTAATTTAGTTTCGTTTATAAAAGCAGCTCCACCAAATATATCATTATAGAGACCTTCCACCCTCAGTTTATATTCACCAGGGGCGCTGGTTGGTGGTACCTTCAATTCCAAAAATTTGGTGTTACAAACAAATATTTTTATTTTATGATAACAAATATGATATTACCCTCATTAGAAGAGTTTCGGGAATGTTTTCTTTTATTTCTTTGTGATCGGTAGACATTTCAACTCCGTTTCTTTGAATAGAAGCTCTAACTGTTAACGGTTGACGAGTTCTAAAAACTTGAACAGACACCCTGTATAGCTGGCCAGGTCTTACTATACGAGATGCAACAACAAAATATGTTCTGAAAATGAAAGAGTGGTGTGCTAAATATCAAGTTTCGAATACAGGGTGTTTAATTTCAAGCGTCTCTTCTTTTTCAAGAATAACTTACGCTTCACGAATAATTGAGGTATGCTCATCGATTGGATGTCGCCCAAAACCACTGTCAGAAGGATTCTGTCTCCAAGGAGTCCTAGGGGATGATGGTCTTCCGAATGGGGATTCCGAAGTGAATGGGTTGGAAGATCCTCCATAGTCATTAGTTGAAAAGGAAGGATTTCGGTTTGGATCGAAAGGATTCTCATTAGGATCGTTAGGATTATATTGATTAGGAGTATTTGGATTAAATCTGTTGGTATCGTATCTGTTTGGGAAATTTACATCGTACCTATTGGGATTATTTGGATCATACCTGTTCGGATTGTTTGGGTCGTACCGATTGGGGTTGTTTGGGTCAAATCTATTGGGGTTGTTTTGGTCAAACCTATTAGGATTGTTTGGATCTAGTCTGTCAGGGTTATTTGGGTCGTAACTGTTGGGATTGATCGGATCGTATCTACTGGGGTTATTCGAATCGAACCTGTTTGGGTTGTTTGGATCATATCTGTTTGGGTTGTTGGGATCAAATCTATTTGGATTATTGGGATCAAATCTGTTTGGATTATCTGGATCGAATCTGTTGGAATTATTCGGATCATATTGGTTGTTGTTGGGATCAAAAGGATTGTCATAAATTTGGATATTTTGGGCTACCGCATTGCAAACGGCTGTCAATAAAACTATCACTAATTCCTTTTCGAGTTTCATGCCAACAGTCTTTTTTCTGAAAAGAAGAAAGGATACATTTACGACTAATTTAGTTGCTCTTAGCTTTAACATTAAACTTAAAGTAATTGACTGCTCAATTCCAAAATTACCACGACAATAATTTTCCTTTTTTTATAAAAGTTGTTTCTTTTTATGTGGGCATTTTATAACAAGACAAATGGTGAAATAGAAAAGTCAAATTTAGAAATCCTCCCGGAACATATGTTTGTTTGTTTTCGAGCCCTTTTTGTCAGTTAAATTTTTACAGCTATAGCCGAAAAGAGACAGAGGCGCATCATAGACAGAAAAAAAAATACAAACACACGTGTCCAATGTCAGCATCTGATCGAATTTTTGTTTAAAAGGAGTCGGCAAGTAAGTAATTCGACACCTCCTTTTGAAAGGAATATATAAACGTCAGTTTGTGGTAGAAATGAACGAAGGGGGAGTTTTCTTAAGGAAGCATAAACACGAGTCTGGTTAGTATTTCCTATTCTAGTACTTACAAAATTTCCCTATTTACTTTTACTTATTTAAAAGCATCCACAAACGTTAAAAAAAAACAAAAGAAATGAAGGAAGTTAAAAATTATGTACGAACTTACTAAAAAGTCCACTTAAAAGATATAAAGAGTTATAAATATCCTATTTTATCAAGTTACACTCAAATATTTTTAAAGACGAACGAAAACAGGTCAACAAAAAACTATTTTTATGTTCTCTGGCAAAACCCTTTCACACGATACCTACCAGAGAAACAGGCAAAGTTAAAAGAAAAAATTTGGTAATTGAAAAATACGTTTAGGTGGGTCTTAATTTCCATAATAATTAAAATACGTTTTTGAACGAATACCTAGTGGTAGTGACAAAAAAGTACACAATATCTACAAGATAATCTGCATATCAAATATCAATGACATTATACTCAATTGAACTGTTCAATATGTAAATAAATATGATAAATTTCTTATTGTTATAAAATAAACTGAATAATAGGGAAATCAACATTTTCGTTTAAAAGTTTATGGCTGTCATAAACTAAATGAATGAGAATATATTAATAATAATTTAATGCATAATAAATTATGAGGAAAATTAAATTGGTTTATAATAATCCATAACTTTACATGAAATTCTTAGGAAATACTTATTTATCAGTTATGCAAAGTAATATAAATGCAATTTTTTTGTCCAAATAGGAGAACTAATATGTTTGGTAGTCTGCAAACGTAATACCTTATCAAAAATTTTAAATACAACTGTAACAATTTCTGTATTGTTATAAATGGCTGACTAATAAGTCGAAATAATTGTCGAGTGGATTTATTTCCATTTGAGACATTCTTCTCTTGCATGTCTTTATTAAAATATTATTACGAGAGCACACCTACGATAGTTTAAGTATCGGTAATTTGTAATCCTTTCTATCATATAATCATGTGCGAAAAATAAGGTCCTGATAGTATATAAAAAAGAAAATATGAGTGCTGTCAGCACAGGGCAAAGTAGTATTACGTAGTTAGTATCAGCAATTTCTTATGCTGAAGTGTACGATGTGTTGCATACGTTTTTACAAACAATTCATTTAAATTTAATTTTTCCAACAATTTTTAACACAAAAAAAGTAATTAAACAAATTGTTCTCAAAAGTGAATTTCGACCACTCGAAGCAATGGTGCTAACAGTTTCGAGCTCACAGTGACTTATAGGGGGGAAGAACTAGTGTAGGTAAAGGATAGATAATAAGAGAATGATACTAATTAAATAGCCTACTTTCTAAATTCAGGAAATTGTTTAATCGAAATTTGTAGTAAAAAAAATCGTTTTTAAATATTAAAAGACCTTAGAGAACAAGTCCATTTGACCATATTTTTTTTCATTTGGAAAATATTTAATAGCAAGTAGGTACAAATACGTCAAAATCACCCTCTGTGGTATGACACATTTATCATTATACGTAATTAGTTTCTTTCACCTGTGCCGAAGGGAAACTTTTTATTTGTCCTAAAAACCATAAATCACATGTCAACCACAATCACGCCCGCAAGGTGGAAAATTAAAGGGGCATTGCCCCAGACTAAGAGATCTACCAAAGCCGTAAGCTTTTATCGATTTTAGAATATTGTCACCGATTGAGAAAGCCTGCGACAAGTGGGGAATTAAGCCATATTTTACGATTTGCGCGATCTTATTGTCTCCAACCCTCCGATATCATAATAACAGCCCTCCGGAGTTCTTATATCTCTCAAATATTTGCTCTGATATACACAGAATGTTTGAAGAAGACGGGGAACCTGTTTGGTTTGATGTTGAACATGTTTGACTTTCTAACTTCGACAAATCGACACACATAATCTGTTTGATTAAATAGTATACCTATACAGGGTGACTCAAAAAATAAATAAAATTGTCTATTCGCCCCTTAAATCTATTTTTAAAATTATGTACTACATCGACTATTAATCGAAAAGAAATAGTATATAAACAATAATTAATCAAGAAAATAATGATTTGCGATCCTTATTTATGATTAATCAATATATGTATAGGTACACGTGATGTAAATTAACAGCTATACAATTCTTATCGAAACTGGAGCATCAATAGGTGGTTTTTTAAAAATAAATCATAATGGAGTAGGTAAACCAGAAAAAACACCGGAAAATTTACTTGTTGGCAATCAATCAAAGAACTACTAACTGTTCGATCAAGTGCAATATCCGATGATGTTCATCTGCTCGTAACGGTTATTTGAACAGTTTTAAGTAGAGCGTTTTGAAAAGAAACTGATGTGTGTTTTTTTAATTTGCGATCTGATATAACTTTGACAAGTAAAAGTAGGTAGTTACCGAAGTGATTATTTTTTTAAATCACTATTTTTAAGAAAAGAAAAAGACAAAGTACAGTGGATTTCGGGTATAACGACAACAAAGGGACCACTGTAATTTCGTCGTTATATCCAGAAGTCGTTACAGGCAAAGTTAAACAGTAAATGTTCATCTGGAAGTCACACTTATTCAAAAGTTTACTAAACACAGTTGCTACTCAGAAAAAACGGTAAAGGTCATCACATTTGTTGACTATTGGTGTGAATGTAAACAAAAGATAAGAAAGCTCTTTGTGTCCTTAGCGGCCGACTCTAGTCGCTATATCTGCATGGGATTTGTTACAAATGATTCATTAAAAACAGTCGCTATACCCGAACTCGGCGTTACATCCGAAGTCGCTATAACCACATGAATTTTATACGTCGCTATTACCAAGGTCGTAATAAATGAAATCCACTGTACAAACATTTCTTGTCAGATAAAATTTCATAAACAGGAAAAACGGTAAAATAAACTAAAATTAAAGAATTTAATGGCCAATTTTAATTATAAACAAGATAAATGAATAATTAATCAAAAAACATTGCACCTTATATCTGCTGTTTAGGTAATAGCTTCTTCAAAACCAAAATTTGTTTAACAACGGTACATTTTTGAAATGTCCCAAAACGCAAACATCATCTGTGGTGTATTTAGCTAACGGATACTCTCAAGATAGGTGCGTACACTTATGCAGCATCTCGAGCACTAATTTGAGTTCTATACTCTATGCAAATTTTTTCCGATTTACAATCATTACAATTGTTTTCATCATTTATTTTAACTGCAGTAGAAAGAGACCGTTCATAAAATACGTTCGCAAATAAGGTAGAGGGAAGGATATTTCTCAGCGCGATGAGATATGACAAGGGGAGAGGGAGGGTTTAAGGAAATGTGACGTTCGCAGTTCTCCAATTTTATTTTAATTTTTTTATTAATTTGGCAGTCCTTAAAATTTTTCATTACTATAGAAAGTCATTCCCATTGCTATTTTTAATCAAAAGAAATCGCTTGTATGGGGGGTCTAGCTTTTGTGGCGTCATATTTGTTAGGGGGGTCGCTGAAAGTGTGACTTAGCATGACGAAGGGAGAGGAATGGATCCAAAAAAGGGAAATTTCTGAGTAACGTATTTTATGGACGGCTCCATACAGAGATGACCCCCATGACGAATGACTGGCAATTACAAATACAGTAGAATCCGCTTATAATGACATCGAAGGGAAATGACAAACACGTCATAAGTACTAAGCGGACGTCATACAAAGCATAGTCGTAGAAAATAAACAACTTTCTATTTTGGTTAGTTATTTAGTTTAATAAAGAGAAAAACTACAAATTGTATACATTTATTAACAGGAAAAAAAAGAACGATGAATTGTAATATCAATATACATAAGAAGGGTCAGAAAAATGAGCGAAAATGTTATTATTAATCATTTGGATCACTATAACCGGATATGATTTCTTGAGAATCAGTCATAATAAACATTTTTAACGGAGTCATTACATCCAAACTTTCATGTAGGTAATTTAATATGAAAACCAAACTTAACACTGCAATTATTTCATATTAAGCGGTTGGTCAATATAGGCGGAGTCATAATAAACAAATTCCACTGTAACCACTTTTTTAAATATGATGGTAGGTACTACTAAAAGACCTGCGAGCCTTTAATCTTGCCAGTTTATACGTATTAATAACTATGATTTTTTTTTTTAGAATAATCTCATTATCTTACTTACATTTTCCGTATGAAAAGACATCAATAAAAACCTTGTAAAGATCATAACGCGATTAAAAAAATGGTTTGCGTTTTACACAGTAATCAATACCTGCTTTTTAAACACAACGTAATAAAAAGCATACTGCGTAAAGAAACTACAAAACTATAAAAAAACAACAGCAAAAGTCGGCAGTTATTCCTCTATTTCCGGTGGTTAAAACGTGCATACATACAAACGAGGCACACGAGGCACGCTTTTTGAATGATTATATGTTTAAAGGGTGCCGTGCCACCCCTGCATCAGAGATAATCCAGGGGTGTTCGGGAGCCGAAGCAAAAGAGAGGGTGTCAACTGATGTGACGGTTGCCATTTATTTCTCTTCCAGATGCTGTTGGTAGCTACTGTTTAATAAGTCCTAAAATAG